AACTTGAGAACTTTGTGGACGAGCCTTCAAGTTGAGGCCCAGGTGAATGACCAGAGATATTGAGGAGATGGCTGCCGCATAGATAGGGAAGAGATAATGGTTTGTCCATGTTCTGAATGAATGTCAGCCATGTAGATCGGATTGGCAGCCAAGAAGACTTACAGGCGAGTTTGCGAGGCCAGCCAATCTGCCAAATGTTCCGAGAGACCAGCTATTTCATAGGCGCGCAAGACGCTCATGTAAAAGATGATGGAAGGATATCTTGACGGCTTGGTGGTGGTTTTCAGTGATTCGAGATGACTCGGCTAGTGCAGACCGGAGTAGATTGCCGACGGAACAGAAGGACAGGAAGATAGTGTTCCAACTCTGTACACAGCATCGTCTCTGAGAAGCGCTGGTGTCAAGCTGAATGACAAATCATCAAAATTGGCTGAAATAGGAAGGAAGGAACCAAAAAGAGAAGTCGCCGAAAGAAATCGCACCTTTTCATGACGCGACTGCGACGCCAAGATCCAGAATGGGATTCGACGACTTGAAAATAGGTGAGTGAAAGCGAAATCAGCAAGGAAGAGCAAGAGGAAAAAATACCAAATATTACCTCTCGATAGAGAGTCGGGAATCAGGTGGCTGGCGAGCCATAGCAAAGTTCATGTCAAATCGATGTGTCAGGAGTTAACGAGGTGACGAATTCACCATACGTCATCGATTCTTGCTTGCTCGATTATAGCGACGCAACAGCTCTGCTCAGTGTAACAATTCAACCAATCCCACTATATGCCTAAATGCTTCATAACATCCGGAATAAAATGCGTTGGAGAATGCTGACATGTTAGACTCATGTCACGATCAGACAAAGCCCGCTGACGTTTTTTTGATATGGCTCGTCAGCCACCGGCATCAGCCGTGATGCCAGCCTCTCTACGAGTCTACCGAGAAAGACCTCCGCCCATCAAATCTTTCTCCCGTAGAGAGGCTGGTTACGAGCCTATGATGTATCATTCGTTGTTTAAAAAAATGTATCGTTAGTCGATGCGGATGCTCTCTGAACTTGCTGAGGGTGAGGCTTCTTGCTCTGATCCGAAAAGCGAGTAGGAAAGATGGCGAGAATTATCTGGATATATTTTCAGGCAGCACGAAGCCATTCAATTGAGGCATGGAGGAGTTGGCGCCTTCGGGACCAAGACCACAAAAATCAGAGCATCAGAATAGAATCGAATTTAAATGCATAAATATTACATAGAGGAGGTATTACTTGAATCAGAGTCTGATGCAGAACATCCAGCTGCTGAGCTACAACTGCGTCGATCGACGGTTGTGATCAACCGGTCGGACAGACTCGGAATAGCCTAGCACATTGCGGGGGTGCCTTGCATATGGACCAATCAGCGGTCAGAACATAGGCTCGTTTTCAATAAGCGGTTGGCTTTCAGTCCTCGAGCCTATCTGGAATGAAAATGAGTACAACATGAACCGGAGCTTGGTGGAAGGAACAACGTACGTGAAATCTGTTGATGACTAGTACTGGCAATGGAGTGGGGAATTGCCAGAGCCTCGACCCAAACTGCAAATCAGACCAAAGCATTCGAGTCGACCTGCTCAGTCCCCTGAAGCGCCATAGTCACAACGAAGTTTCCCCTTGTACCAAACTCCTTCATTTTCCCCCGAATTACCGTACCATTTCGACCAAGTCTTCATGTAACGCGTAACATCGGAGAAAAAAGACCCTTTCAAAAATCGCGTTAAATCAAAAGAAAAATATTCGGCCTCACCGGCGACCAAAATTTACCAAATCTGTGAAGACTTGGTCGAAATGGTACAGTAGTAGCTCTCACAACACGTCCAGGATTTCTCTCCCCATTTTCCTCACCGGAGACCCCTGGTTCGAAACGAATATTGCGGAGCAGGGCACACTGAGGCAGTCACCGTCAGTGAGATCACCATGACGAGCTGGGACCAGTTGAGCATGTCGAGACAGTTGGACACGGTCCATGGGACGACAAGGGTGAGTTGTTTCAACTTGAATGAATTCGAAGAGGAGAGGCTTTTGAATATCCATTGACTGTACTGTATGGATAATCATTGAGACACGTCTTGAGAGATCGAAGGTTATCTTGATTTGAAAGCTGAATCGCCTCTATATATCTGACGTTAGAAGGTCCACAAAGGTGGAGAGAAGATGCATACCATGATGGTTTTTAAGTGAGATATCGAGGTCGGAGAGATCAGGCACCACAAGCTGGAAGAAATCGTGGTGATGGTTCATCTCTGACAACGTTCGACGACCGGCTACTCTGAAAGACTTGATCTCAACAGGCGAGCATGCTATCCAGTTGTATATATCCTTCAAGTACCCGTCCGCCAAGTCCAAAGACAATGAAATAAGTAAGTTTTGACGAAATGAGATGTAGATTGTGGTCAACCCCATTATGAGGATGAAATCAAATTTGGGATAGGGTGAGAGTCGTGAGGTTGGGGAATTGGAAGAGAAAATGCATGACGTCGAGAACCCGCATACACTGCGTTTCACCGCCACCTAATCCAACCCTGAGCGGGTTTGATCGAGTCTGACTAAGTGCGACTAGGGTCGGATTAGGTACCTAGTCACAGTGATACCGTCGATGCGATGCAGGGCTATCTCATGCACTTTATCGAATGAAGCGACGATGAATGGCGAAAATTTTGGATTCCAATTAACATGGAAAGTTTCAATGTCTGGACAGTGGAGAGCCGTACGCGTAAACGTGGTAGGTCGTACACGAATTAGTTCCATGGGTACGCTGAAAACTTTTTGCATGTATCTGCAAAGTCGAATGTACGTAAATGGTGGAGGAAGGTACATCGCGGTCAGCGGTGATTCTGTAAGATTCAAAACCAGCGAGAATTCTGGCTGTGAATAGACAGGAGACTGAATAGGTGGTGGCGGCATCGAGGAAGCCATGCTCTGCAAACGAGCGAGCCTGATGGGAGAACCTCGGGGTCATCTTTGACATCGTCGATGATAGTGTCGTAGATTTCATTGGGAAACCTTGAGAACATGGCAGAAAACATTGACAGCGAGGACGTTGTTGACACGTGGGAAGGCGTGAAAGATATCGGTATTAGCAAGAACCACAACTGGACGTTATAACTGACGCCTTCTGTATCATTTTGTGGAATGCGAGCTGTGCGGCGCTTACCAAACTCTTACACTGAACAGCACGGCTGGAAATCAAAGATGGCAGGTCTTGGGTCTCTGCGGCTGCAGAACACTTTCGTACAGGATTCAAGTCCCAGCACGGCAAAAGTCGTTGAAACGTTGATTGGTACCATGTGTGGAAAGTAGATCCCAAGTATACAGAGCTTGAGAAAACTCTCTTGGAGTGATACATGGACAAGTCTGGGCGTGTGAATCTAGAGGTGATCTCGGGAGTTTACATTTGCCGAACGACCGCGGCATACTGTTGCATCGGTCAGGGCCGACGGAGTCCCTAAAGCCAGGACTCAAAGGACGCCCTTGGAGTGACTCGATTCTCACTTGAATCCAGCTTGGGTGGATCCCATTGCCTAGCAGGTATTAGGTGGATTCAAAGCAATTCGGAAGACCTTCAATCCGTCGCGGCCGCCGGCATGGAGCTGCGTCTGCTCTTTCTCAGACCCCTGAGAGCAAAACGTAACAACGGCGGCCTAGGAAGGAGCCTCGAATGACTCATCAGTATTGAGCTCTTAAAGATCTGAGACTCATCTCGACATCATTGTTATCACTGCGCAGTATCGTGCAGCAAGAGTAACGACGCTCAATGCTCATCATTCTGCATGTATTATATACGTACTACATGTGTTTTCGGCCGCCGTATCGTCTTGTTTTGCATTTTGTCCAGAACGAGCTAAATTGGCCCCCGTTACTTCTTTGTTCATGCGTACCATCAGTCAAATGACCAGCAACACTCCAGAATCAGATATTGTCGAACGACCTCGTGTTCCTTGTTCACTCTTCCGCCGTTTGGAACTTTGGATTGCCCCATCGTGCCCGTTTTGGTGGACCGTCATCGAAAATCTTATCCTGTACTTGTCAAGTCAAAGTGGAGTCTTTCTTCCTAGTTCGTCTCTCATCTCCAGGAGTCTATGTATGTGCAGTCGACTTGAAGTCGAACTCAGATCAGATCATGTTCAATGGTCGACATGACGGGTGTTTGGTCTGTATCGCGCAAGAAGAGTCGGATGCCATGGTCAGCATCGGTTCCTCGTGTCCGAGCACCTACCAATGCACCTTTGCGAGATAACAGAAGGAGGGGCGCTAGATTAATGCCAGAAGTGTTAATACTATCAATTAGGCCCTCTAAGTCAGCCGCAGAGTCTTCGGTCATTTCTTCAGTCTTGTGACCTCGGTTGCCAAATAAAATTTCACAGAACAAGTTGGTATATATTATGGTGCTGGATTGAGTTATTCTGTGTGTATTGTACGTATCGATGGCCGGAGGATACCAATGGTAGTGAGAGTTACCTGCGTCATAGGCGAAAATTTTCCGGTAAAATATGTATAAATAACCGTACTGAACTGTATTGAATATGACAACAGCGTCTTTCTTGGTAGAGGCTGGAGGGTCGGTCACCGGAGTAACTGTTCTTTTCTTTCTCCATAGTCTTTGCTTTCTCATGACCCTCCAAAGTGAGCATTTTGATAGTTCAGCGTCCAATGTCGAACCACCACGGCGGAAAAATGGCGTCTCATCGTCGTCATCGTCATTCTTCAGTGAGGCTGTGTCATAGGGATCAGGGTGATTAAAGAAAATCCTTCGTCTGGATGTCTGTGGGTTGACGGGAAGAGGATCCTAGTTAGAGGAACATATAAATCACCACAACATCGAGTCTGACAACAAAAAAAATCGACCTGTACAAACGCAGGAAGTTGAAAAATCTGTGAGGATCTATGGTCACGAAAAATCAAACTTCGAACAAATTTCGTGGTGAAGGCCGCGGGGTGGTGAAAAATAAGAAAAATAGCGTAACATTTTACGCATTCATGCATTAAGAGGGAATCGAACCCCCGGCGGGTCGAGCTTGAATTAACTCAATGGCAACGACCCAGGTTACCACTACCCCATTAATGCATGTAAGAGGCACGGACTGGCTTAACATGACATACATGCTGCATATAGCTGCAAAAAAAGCGCTCCAAGGTTTCTTTGCTCCACCGTCTTTATTGCTAGGATTTGAAACATCCGACAAGGTGATCACAGAGAGCGGGGAATGGATATCTTGTTGAAGCTTAAGGTGATCCTGGATCCGTCTAGAACTTCAACTTAGAAGATTTTCGAGCCAGTCGAGTCAGAAGGCTGAACACGGACTGAATTTGTTGGCTTAATGTAGGGTTTTTCCAAATCAAAATTCCGTTGAGCGGAAGTCGTGGCACGTGCCGGACCGTCAGCCGCGACTTGCCCGACGAGACCCAGAAAAATCATTTCTGCTTCTCGAGCTATCTTCGAAGAGCGTCAAATTACATGAACGATAGAACTTTGAACAGAGTGACGGAAGAGAGTAAACTATCAATCGTTTGGACGCTGCAAAACTCTTCACAGCAAAGCAGCTGCCTTCATTTGGCCTTCATATACATTTGGGCGCGTACACTCACGTTCTCCTTCCAGCCGATTTGAGCTAGTCGTCTTGTGGTTTGGCCGAAGATGGAGCTTGAACCTTGAGAAATGTCAATATCGGCTCATGCATGGGCATTGAATAGCCATACCATTCGCACTTGAACCATTTATGGCCGTCCTCTTGATCGATTATACAGCTCTTGTTTCAACTCTGACGCCGCCTTTGATATTCCCTTTGTCGTCGTCGTAGATGATGGTGAGTATCTTGGTATCACCACTGATTTGCTCCGGGAAGGAACTCTGAGAGCTGCGGTCAACAACTGTCAACCAGAAGGGAAATAAACTATGTAGAGATAACGTACCTTGTTACGCCTTTCGAGATCCCAACTGCCGAGCCAGTGTTCCATGAAGCAACCGACAACCTGGCGAGCAAATTGACGATATGCCCAGTCAATACATTGCCGTGAATCCTTCGTCTATGCTCAGGCTGAGGCTTCAGCTGGCTGAGAGGCCTTTCGAAAATCCAAAGAGATAGCGGAAAAGGATGAATGGAGGGGAAGACGAATGCGACATGATAGCTTGGTCAGAGGCAGAGCCAGGGTGCCTGCAGAGATAGTTGAGACAAGGGAGAAAAGTCGAGGAAGGGTCGACAAACCGAAATCATCGACCGAAACCGAGACTGGCCCACGAATCCTTGCACTGGAAATTTCGCAAGAGGTGATCATTCTGAGAGGCCTGCGTTTTCTTCGGCGACCTGCCTCCAAATACAAGCAAAATATCATGTTCGCCGCCAATCTGATACAGAAGTTGGACAAAGTCGTCGGAAAGGATATAAAGTCGACGGACCTAAAGATTTATGCTGTTCTTCATCTGGTTCCGGTGACGGATATCAAGGAACAGCACCCATGTCATGTCTGCTACAGAATTGAGCTTGCTGAGCAATGGCAAGAGTGCCTTGAACGGAGAAGATGGGCTGGGTGGCTGAACACCAGGCGGTTTGTTGAAGCCCACGGTTGCTTTGGAATCAGCTTGGGCTCGGTCATAGCACGTAAAGAGGATCTGGGAACAAAATGAGAACCCAGAAAAGGACCTACGTCGGCCGAGGACCAAGACCAAGCAAAACTTCAACCAGGAACCTTGATCGAGTCTGATCAATGTCGGGTTAAAATTACACATATGATCTCAGCAATTGACGACAGAGATTTGGCGTCCTGAAGAGCAAGGAGCGACATGGTTATTCAGCTCGGGGTCGGGATGGGATGGCGGGAAATTGTGACATTGTGACCAAAGGTCGCATTCATGCTTTTGGATCACGCCGTCAATTGAGTGATGAAGGTAGGCTCTCCAACCACGAATCCACCCAGATTTTGACCGCATTATTTTCAGAATCTCCTGCGGACATTAACAGAGAGCCGCGCAAAGTCTCTGTGCCCAGACAATGACCTCAAGTTATTGTTAACGACTGTCAGAGATGTCCGAGTGAGTGATTAGACTATGGCTCCAAATTTTCACAGCAAGCTCACCCTAGGCTCAGGTTAACGATTCCAAAGCGTCGCTTTCGGATCCCTTCTATGATTCGCTCGAGAATCTCCTCCACGACCTCCGAACCATCAGCCTGGTAAGCGGCTCTATTGGCGGCGGCTTATTGTCTGACGCGTCTGTTTTCAGGATAATCACGACGCAGAGGCCTTTTTGAAGCCAGTTTCGAAGGCCGACGCCCCAGATTACTATGACGGTGCGCTCTATGTCGCTCTAGAATGCGCGGAAGCTAATTATTTTATTCAGTCATTCAAACGCCTATGGACCTACAAACAATGCTCAAGAAGGTCAAGCAGAAGACATACAAGTCTAAGAAAGAGTTCAAGGACGATTTGGATCTTATCTGGTCAAATTGTGTCACCTATAATGCGGTGGAGGTGCGCTCGCTACTTGGTCTTTCGACCAAACCTTTGACCGTTTTGTTCTAGACTCATCCCCTCAGACAATGCGTCAAGCGTCTGAAAGTCAAGGCGGACAAGCTTCTGACCCATATAACCGACCGCAAAGACCGTACAGACCCTGGGCTTGGGGAAGCCCAGAACAGTCGGGTCTCCATCAAGCTCAACGGCCATCTCAATGGTCATTCCACCCCAGGCATTGCCACCCCACTCGTTCGACGTCCCCCCAATGGAAGGCCATCAACCAAAATACCGATAATCCTTCCTCCGAGGAAACTTCCCATATCGCAAAACATCACGTTCGCCGATTCTCCAGCCCTCGTTCGCACACCAGCTGGTATGGGCCAGTTTATGGAGCTCAGCCAAGGCATCGACCAACATTTTGACGCTCCATCAACGAGTACAGACCAACAGCTCCTAGGTCGTCTACGAGAAGTCGTCCCCGGGTCTGTAGAATCGGAAGAAGACGAGGAGATGGACATAAAAGAGGAAGCAGATGAATCCACCGCCTTGGCAGCTCTCGGATCCAAGCGCAAATTGTACGTCGGTCGATGTCTCTTTCTCGTTTTACTCAACTTTTTCTCCAGGAATGGCTCGCCTGCAGAATCAAGGCCTCGGAAACGCGTTCGATATACAAACCAGTGTTCGGTGCCGATCCCTCCAGACGATGATCCCGTTAACAGATTGTGGTGGACAGCGGTGCAATCTACTTCCATGGCAGCCAATGGACTTCCCGACATCCCTTTCGCTTGTTCATCTTCGACGCCAATGGGGCGAGAACCAGAGGTCGTCAAACGGAAACGGAAACGGAAAAGGTCCCCAGAACCTGCGAAACCGAATTCTTTGCTTGCCTTGATGAATACCAATATCCGAACGATGAAGCGGGTTCGACATACGCATAGCAAGTTTGCTGCGTTAGGGCTGGGTGGTTCGAATAATGAAGATGGAGAAGAACCGGTGCCTATGATGAGCGCTGCCGGGCTTCGTTTGGAGAAGTTTGACGACGAAGCAGCGATTGTGGACGACAAGATCGACGAGAAGTCCTGGAGCATGAAGGCAATCGGCAAGCGGAAGATGCTTCCTGATATTGGCGAAGAGAATGCCGCAGACTGTCTTGGTTGGATGGGCGGCAAGGTTTTGGAGCATGCTGGGTTCCAAGGTGCGCTATTCATTCCTCAATTTATCATTCAAATGCTGAGCCTTTGGTCTTAGGGACATCGAAAGTTGCCCTGGACGTTCTTGCGAGCGTAACTTCGGAATATTTGATGAATGTCGGCCGTACTATTCGATATTTAAGCGACAAGCATGGCACAGCCATGACTGCGGAGGTAAGATCCGCTCTACAACCTTATTGTATTGTCTGACAAGATATTTGTATAGGAAATCATATTGCATACTTTATTCGAGAGCGGGATTTCCAAAGTCCAGGATCTCGAGCGCTACATCAAGGACGATGTTGAACGATATGGATCGCGACTGGGAGATCTAGAGAAGAAGCTTGTCGGAGCATATCGCGAGACTGTCACCCGCCTTGTCGACAATTCTTCTCAGACTGCTGTTGATGATGGGGACGACGAAGGGCTGTTTGATGAGGAAGATGAAGAAGAGACGGGCGCTCTTGCACGGTACGTGCTTTTACGCTATATCGATTCATTACCCTGACAATGGTTGTTTAGTGGTGACTTTGCTGATACCCTTGGGGTTGACTTCTTCGGCTTCAAGGAGATGGGTCTCGCAGAAGAATTTGGTCTTTCGAGTCTCAGCATACCGCAGAGCCTGCTCAAGGGCAAGAGGAAGAGAATGAAGCCATCTGAAATGTACGTCTTGACCTTCATTTTTCTCTACCTCAGAGATTAACAATCATCTCTAGCATCAAACCTACAGAACCGCCGCCACCATATCCACCGCCACCACCATTTGTCATTATGACTGCTTCTCAAGTCGACGACCAGATTGGTTTGCTCAGACCCTATTATTTATCGCGCTTCACCGCTCTCTCACAACCAGCACCTCCGCCAGCTCCTTCACAGGCAAATCCTTACCCTTCACATGCAAATGTTATTCCTCATCGACAAGATCATCAGGATAGAGACACGGTCCTTCCAGATGATGCTGCCGCTCCAGCCCAGATGAAACTCGGTCCAATCGGGCATGTCATCAAGCCTTCTGCCAATGCTTCCTCGTCGAAAAAGAAGGCCAAAGTCGCTACACCTGCAGCTGCAGGCGAACCTTCTCCGCCAAAGAAGAAAAAGGCGACTGGTGTTGGGACAGGCAATGGTCGAAAGAAAAAGCTAATGGAGGCACAACTTGCGTCTCAGATGCCTCCATATCCGCCTGTCGTCGCTGCCAGTGCTTGATGTTGCGGTGTCTCCTCATACCATTTGTAGCTTTTCTACGTATTTACCTGACGGATAGCATTTTGTAGCATTATTCATATTTTCTGAGCACGATCTAAATGCTGTTTCTGCTCCTGACACTGCTTGGATCTACAGCGTTTTTCAAATGGTGTTTTTGTGGCTTTTTTCCGGAGAGGCATAGCCTCCGCAGTAAAGTTGCAAATTTCGGTTTTACTGGTTGCTC